CACTCTACTCTATACCTTTTACTTCTAGCTATTGTACTTTATACATACCGTGATTTATATATCATTTTTTTTAAACACTACATAGGTATTCCACTTTTTCAGTTTAAACTTTTAGTAAAAACTACTAATGATAGGCAACAGTGCCACAGTAACATTTTTATTTGGAAAATTATGTTCTAAAGTTCTTTGTATAGACCTCAGCTATTTATAATCATGATGCAAATAGGTACATATTTAAAAATTTCAATGATTATTCTCATAATATTGTATGTATTTGATTATAAACGCTTCGTTTCGAATAATTTAGATTTATTTTTAATAATTATTTAAAGGAATTTTAAGAGCGCACTTACTGCTATATTCTGGTACTCGCCTATAATTTCTCAATTTTTCATAATGTGAAATTTAAATTTAAAAAAAATTTTTAAAGCATTATTTTTAAAATTAGCAAAAAATTTTAATATTTTTCATGTTCAACTTCCCCTCTTCAGTATATAAACTAGAAATATTATAAAATTTCAATATGGTCACTACCACAAACACGAGACCCTATACATTGCAAATGTATATTTTTTCATTTTATCACAATTTTTTCTAAAAGAATAACATCATTTCTTAAATGATTATTCTAGAGTTAATAAAGGGTTGTTGTATGTTATTTTCTCACAAATTTCAATAAGGAATAAAAAAAAAATTATTTTTGTCCTTTTTAATATTAAAGGAAACAAAAAATACAAGACAAGAGGAGAAGAAATAAAAAATAAATCAAATGTATTAAAATAAAAAATATTTCTAAGACATTCTATATATATAAAAATTTTAAAATACAAAATAGGTTCAATGAACTTCTGAGACTCCTTGTTCGAAGCAACTGTCTAAGAATTTCATTTTTACAAGGATAAATTTATTTTTTATAAAATTTTAAAATGTGTTCGTTTATTACAATTTTATTATTGTGTATATATGACTTTGAATAAAGAAGCAAGATCAATTTCAATTTTTTTTTGTTCTACAAAATTAGTAAAGTTTTTTGAACTTTTGAACAAAAATTGAATAAAATTAATGGATTGATTCGATTAAAATTATTAAATTAAAGAATAGATGTTAAATATTTTAATGGCTCACGTGGGATGTTCATGGGCAAACATGGACTAGATATTGAAAGTGTCTATAGTATACAAATAGAGCATAAGTATAGAATAGTGTGTATAGAGTTGAGATATCCCAAATAAATAACAAAGATTTAGACAGATTTCTTAATATGAAAATACTTAAACTGAGTTGCAACCCTCACAAAAGTCAACTGTATAATTAAAATTTAAGATAACTATTTAGAAAATAATTTTAAAAAATATTAAAAAAATTTAATAATTTACAATTTACTATGATAAAAGCCCCATATATAAGCATTCTATTAAAAGTACTCCAAGATTTTCTAAATAAAATATTTGAAGTTTAAAACCAATATATACGATCATTGACCTCATTTTTTTCAAAATGTGTTATATTGCGCCAATATTTAAAAAATCATCATCATGATTTAAAAAAAAAATTACTGAAAAACGAAATAAAGAATTAAAATTTTTAGATTTATATAGGCTGCGTTAAATTTCTATTCACTTCTTCTCAACCAGAAAAAAATAAAATGCAATTGGGAATAAAATAGAAAAAAAAAAAAAAACAAATTCTTCTCATTTAATTTTTTCCTGGCAAGTATAAAAAAAAAACCCTAAAATATCCTTTTTTTTTTCTTAATCAAAACGAAATAAAAAAAAAAATGTTTTTTATTGAAGGATTGAGTAACAAATATTGCATGAAGCGCCTCTAAAATTTTTAATATTGCATTTTTTTTTTTAAATCTCCCATCATATTATTGCCATAAATGATCGCGTCACAAATTATTTTTACTTTCCAAAAATTTGTAAAAAAATTACAAGGCCAAAAAAAAAGGGGAAAATAACTATTAGATTTTCTAATATTTAGAAAAAAAAAAGTAGAGAAAAAAATTTCAAGTTAAAAAATAGTTATAGAAAGGAGTTGTCTCAGTTAACTTTAAGTTAATTATGGGGAACAAGCACTATTGGATTTTGTATTTAAAATGGAATTGAATTTGAGCCCTTTATTCTATAATATACGAGTGTTTTTTATGGTCTAATTTTAATAAATTTTCAAATTATTTCCGAATTCATTTTCGCAAAAAATTTCAGATATCAAAAGAAGTCCTTACATCGTCCGCTCATTTCATTCTAATATTGCAACAATCTTGGTTAAAATATATAAATATATAAAAAATTTGTATAATATATATATAAAAAATTTGTAATAATAAAAATAATAGAATTTAAGATGCTACAATTTTATGTAATTGGTTTCATTATAAGAAAGTAAGGGCATTTTGTATTTCATATTTAAGTATAAGAGATTCCGTAACTTGCAATTTCGAAAAATTTTCATAAAAAACTAAAATTCATTTAATTGCATCATAAATTAGTATATCCCAATCGAATTACTAAACGAGTTATTGTGATTACACTAATTTTTGACATAGAAATGATGTTACTTTCTTACGAATTCCGTTTTAGTCTGAAATTTTGAGAAATATATCAGTTAGGCGGTTCTGTTTGCGACACGGCGATGCAAGTACTTAAATTCTAAAAAATCAGCCATAACAATAAATATTTTATTATTAAAAAATCTAAATTTCATTAAAAAAAGATGTTATTAAACGAGTTTCTGTTCATTAAAGGACGAAGCACTAATAAAATATTTTTTGAATATGAAAGTACAGGAGAAAAATTTAAATAAACATTTTTGAGTTTCCTATTATGGCATATCCATTCATAAGTGGACTTTCTACATTATAATGCCATTTTTAAGTAATTTTTCAACTCAACAACAATATGATCCTTTAATTGTTTTAATATATTGCAAAAATTCTCAATAAAACATTGAAAAAAATAAAAATTCATTCTCCTATGACTAATGATAAAAATCAACTCATATTACATTTATGTATATGTGTGTTTGTTTGTAAATGCATGTATCCTTTAATTTTGCAATGATCCTTTATTTATTTTTATCATAATCATCCTTTATTTTTTGTCTCTTTCCGTTTTTTACGCTCGCTTTTTTTTGTTTTTTGTTTTTGAATACTCATTCCTTTTGTTCGGGCAAAAAAGAAACCCTTCAATTTAGGTGACAGACCCTTATTTTTCTCATTTATTTCATTTTTATTTCATTTTTTTTTTTATTAATAATTATTCTCGCAAAATGCGCACCTTTTTATCCTTTCTTTTTCAATGTGTTTTTTATTGAATCACTTTTTTTTTTAAAGTTCGTTGCAGACAACACACACACTTGCGTAATATTAGAAATCGTACGCACAAATACAATTATAAAATATATTTTTTAAATGTTTTTTATGAATTAATACAAAGGCTACAATATATAAAAGGAATACAAAATATGTATGTGATGTATACCTTGAAGCTTATCAAGGATTAAATGAGAAATATTTTGATATTCATTGAATACAAGGATTTAAGATTTACAATATTTTTGTTTTTTAACAGAAGAGTAGGGTTAAACCAGAAAACGCAATATGTGAAAGAGAAACGTTGGATTTTTAAAATTTTGAAAAATTTGAAAAATTTGTATTGTAGTTTATGGTTTAAGGTTTTGAGTAAAATGAATTTTTTTAATTCAAATAAAAATTTACAAATATTGAGTCTGTTGAATGCTTGAAATTTTGACTGTTTTATATAAGATGGATAAAATTAATTTATGGAATTTTTATTAAATAGTGTATACAGTGAGGTTAATGCTACAACTAGATATCTCGAAAATTTTATATTTTTAGATAATTAACCCTGGCGTCATAAAATCGAATTCTCATTCATCTGCGACCAATATCCAAGCTTAAAAGTGTTCTTAAATATCTGAAAATGATAATACCAAAATTAGATATCTTCATGATAAATTATTTTTTATTGCTAAATTTTGTGTCTTTAAAAGTCAATATCTCCAAACCAATAATTGCGAATTATCTAGTTGTAGCATTCACCTCACGATAACGTATATGGCAACTGTTGCACTAAAACACTGTCGTTTTAAATTATTTGTGAAATGAAAATTAATTTTAGGCCGAAAATTTTTAATAATAATTATGAAAACCAAACTACATTAAAAGAAACTAATTTGATAAATGAATAATGCAATGCACAAGACTATTTCTTTGGATATTTTCCAGGTTCTAAAAATTATTAAATAGACTAAAAAGTTAAATCTAATGAGCAGCAAGCTTAATTGAAAATGCCATAAATTGAAAAACAAATTAGTAGAAATATAGAATAAAACTTTTTTCGCATGTATGCATGTAATTAGTAACGATTTTTAGCGCTTATTGATTTCCTTACATAATTGGTCACGTTAAGAAACCAAAGTATTTCACAAAATCATTTACAATTTTGACTTCTCAATCGATCTTGTACGATCGCATCCAGCAATACTCGTATCTACAACCATATTAAGTTTAGAATAAATTCCGTTGCTATAATTTCAGAATTTAAGAAAATTAATAATATTAGTAGGGTTATATAACAGTAGACCTATATCATAACTACAGTAATAAGTATTCCTCTTATTGCCCTTACGCATTTCTAAATAATAAAGCAATAAAGCAATGTCTACTTCATAAGAATTTCGTATAAGTATACAAATTCCAAGATCTTCGCTCTATATCTGTGTATTTTTCATCCCATTAATTTTTATATCTGAAGACATGTAGTTTTACACATTTTTGTGGCTAAGCAAAAAATCATCTGCAATGATTTGTTTTTCATTGTATGAAATTGTATGAATTGGGATGGTATAGCTAGATATACCTAAAAATAAAAATAATAATCCTGAAAAATTACGTAGAAGATTAAATAAGAACAAAAAACCATAGTATTTCATTAAATTAATTTTCTTATTTTAGTTTTCAATTCTTTAACACTTTTTTCAATTTTTCCATATTCTTAATCAATTTTAATTTAGTAACAGTTTTCATAGTTTAAGTTCATTTTGTTACAAATAGAAGTCTTTTTTTTTATTATCCAGTACAAGCACTACATTTACAGGTTTCTGGAACTTCAATCTATAAAAATTAAATTTTTTTTTATTATTTTAAAAACCAAGTTAATTTATTTTAAAGTTAATACAAACCTCTTTATTCATTTTATAACCATCTTCACAAATTAATGGAACGGAAATAACTTTGAACTTTTGAATACCACAGCAATCACAATATGATTGATGTTTTGCTAAAACTATAAATATAAAATTTAAATAAGAATGTAAATTCATGAATTATCTTAAAGAAATTAATTATACCTTTACTATATTTTGTACCAGACGGGCAACTTCCAACACAATGAGTAAAACCTACAATTGGTTCCTTATTTATACAGAGTGAATGTTGTTTATCATAGTATGCAATAAGTTTTATAGTATCCTTATTTTCCATTGGTACAGCTGAACATTTTTCTGCAAAACATTCGAAAATAGACCATATATTATTTATTTATTATAATATTGCATAGAATTTGAATACCTTCTGGCTTAGGTTTGCATTTTAGGCAACAACCATCCTTATATTGTAAACTAACATCACAATCAATTAAAGGACATGTCACAGAATATGAATCAACTTTGGCAATATTATTTATTTCTTTACATATGTAAGTTGTACAACTGTCATTACTTGTCCATTTTTCATTAATTCCATAAGTTTTTCCTTGCCATGTACATACGATTGCTTCTAGTTTTGGTTCTAAAAGTTAAAAAACTTTAATTTAATATACATTATATAATAGACATAAAATTCTGTTAGTTTTACTTTTAGTCACCGGTATAATTGGTTCTACATCACATTCTTCATCTTCATCATCTTCACAATTTTTAATTCCATCACACCATTCAGATTTCTTAATACAATCACCACTTGTCGGACATATTCTTGTATCGGGTGGGCAACTTTCACATAAACATAAACATTTTTGATCATTAACATGTCGTAAACCTTTGGCACACGGTGGACATTTCTTTGGAGTACATTGTTTTACACCACCAAGAACACAAACACATTCTTCGCAATCTCTAGTTTCAAACTTAGCTCCAACTGGATATCTAAAAAATAAATATGAAAATGAATTAAACTAACTTAAGTAAATGTGAGTATGTAATGAATGAATCGATCTGATGAAAAATATTACTTACGTTATATAATTATCAACACAAGGACATTGATCAGACGATACACAAGTTTTTCCATCCCAAAGTTTAGGTAACTTACATTTGCATGTTGCGCCTCCTAATTCATCTACTCCAGGACATATTGAACAATTACTGATTATTGGTGTTACAGGTTTTTCTGTTACTACCGGGACGAGCGCTATAACAAAATAACTTATATTAGAATACTTTAAAATTTTTGTAGGTCATAATAATAAATAAAATTTATAAAAAGTAAAACATGTAAAACACACTTACGATATGGTTCAAAGCAACCTAATGGTTCTACTTTTAAATTAATATTATTTTCCCATTTTGCTGGATGAATTTTTAAATGTTGTGCCTTAACAGGACGATTAAAATAATTTACTTTCAGTATGTCCGGCCCTTGATTACCGACAAATAATTTGCCACCTTCTGCATCAAGTACATTGTTCCAAGTCCTTCCATCATTTGAATATAAAACGTTATATGCTGTAATCCATCCAAGGGGACCACCGAGTGTTTTTAATCCAGTTAATTTTCTTGGTTCTAAGAAATCAAAACGTACATACTCATTTGGTGAATTTATAGCTGGTTGCCATCCTTGTGTTGAGTTTAATTTAATTACATCGATAAGTTTTGGTAAGTGAGATTTAATTCCTTGTGTTGCCCGGCTACTACCTTTAACTTGTTGTGGAAGCATTACGTTATTATAAACTCCCATTGAATCTTCACATATAGGAACGATTGGTGCTTCAGTTACAATATATGGTTTTATTGTAGTTGACACTGGCATTAAAGGTTTAAAAGTTGGACGAGTTGTTATATCAGGCAATCTAGTTGTTTTATCAATTACTATGTGGGGTACTGGAGGTGAATCAGTCGCATAATATGGTTTCTTTGTAGTTTTTTCAGCTGTTGGTGGTTGTTCTGGAATGTATGGTTTCTTTGTAACCTTCTCAATTTCTGGTTCTACCGGGATAAATGGCCTAATTGTTGTTATTTTTTCCAAAATTGGCCGCAGAGTCGGTTGTTCTGGAATAAATGGTTTCTTTGTAATTTTTTCAATTTCTGGTTCAACTGGAATGAACGGCTTAACTGTTGTTATTTTTTCTAATGGTCGTACAGGGGGTTGTTCTGGTATATATGGTTTCTTTGTAATTTTTTCTGCATAGGTTTGTTCTACAATCGGAATTAATGGAGGTTGTGTTACCATATGTGGTCTAATGGTTGTTTTTTCTTCTATTTCAAATTTCGGCTGACGTGGTGTAGTAAGTATTTGAATTTGTGGCAAGGCAGTCGGTAACATTGGATGACCTTCATCACATCCAAATAGTTCAACTTGCATTGAAACTGCATTATGCCATTTTATTGGATAGAGCCTTAATATTTTTGCTTCGATTGGCACTTTAAGAACAGTTTTTACTGGATTGTCTGCATCAATTGGTCCGCTAAATAATTGTTGTTTTCCTTTTTTGTCATTAATTTGATGATATGTTTCTCCATCTTCACTGTAAAGTACCTATAAGGAGTTTTTAGTAAATTAAAAATAAAGCGAAAAATAAATTAGAAAATTTTACCTGGTATAAAGTGACATACTCTTCCTCAGTGGGACTACCTTGAGTGAGAATACCGAAAATTTTTTCAATATGTGGAAGTTCGATTTGCAAATACTCAGATTTTTCATTTTTATCAGGTGACCATGCATATTTCGAATCGAAACGAGCATAGCTAGGAAAATGTTTTTCTGATTTACTAGAGCTTGCAGAGAATATTGTGTCAGGTAATCGTACTGGGGCGTTAATAATTGGAGTGAATCTAAAATCAAAATAAGTTTTTTATATATTTACATTTAAAAACAAAAATAATTACTTCTTTGTTGCGCAAGTTATAGGTTTTGGAATAGCTGGAACAATACGTATCTTTTTCGGTAAAAATATATCAAAATCTAAAGATTCTTGTCCAGTAATTTCAGGTGCTTCCTCTGTTATATTAACCGACTCATAAGCTTCTTTGCAAATATATTGATTATCAAGACACTGACATATTTTGAATTCATCTGCAGGCTCAGTATGAGTTTGATGTGGCTATAACATTTTAGAATTAAATTATTAAAAGCATTACAGTTTTTTTGTAATTATAGTTTACTTTAACGATAGTACCATCCAAATTCATACAAGGACAATCTTCTGCATCAACACATTTCTCAGCATCACGCCACAATTTACCAATTCCACCACAGTTTGGTAAAGCTTCTTCAACACAGCCAGCCTTACATCTTTCTTTAGGACCGCATTTACCTTCTCGAATCAAAGTCTGTACAATTAATATAGTTTACAAAATAAAAAAATGCAATTTTCAATTAATAAAAACTTATCACTTACTTTTTCATAATAATGACACGATTTTTTGCAACGATTTGCACATGAGACCCATTTCATTCCTTTTGGACATTTTTCCAGCTCAACAATATGTTCTGAAATATTTTTAACAGATATTATTGTTGATTCTCTTGATAAAGCAGGAACGGCAAGTTCTCCACATTCCGGCTTAATAGCAATAACACTAAAAGTGTGATCACAAATATTGTTTGTAGGATTAAAGAACATTCCAGGACCACATATTTTCTCCACATATTTCCAAGTACCATCGCTTTGTATAGAGCAATGTAAGAATTTCTGACAATCTCCTTTATACTCTTCATATGCTTTTATATTAACATCACAGTCACCACCAGTTGGTATTTTGGGTAATAATGGTGGTTTAGTAGTACCAGGCACAACAACTGGCTTGTAAGTTGTAGTTATTGGCAATTTGGGAATACTTTGAATTGGTTTAATAGTTGTAGAAGGCAGTATTACAGGAATACTTGTTATTGGTTGACGTGTTGTTGGTGAAATTTTTCCACAATCTGGTTTAAGTTTAACAACATTTGTTATATGGTCGCAAATGTTCATCGTTGGATTGAACATCATTGATGGGCCACAAGTTTTTTCAACATAACCATAGGTACCATTAACGAGCGGAGTACAATGATAAAATTTATAGCAATCTCCCTCATATTCTTTATACTCTTTAATAGCACGATCACATCCTATCGGTTGCGCTGTTTGAGGTTCTTTAACTTTATCACATTCACATAAAACACGTATTTCGTATTCATTTTTAGCATTTGGTTTACATTTCAATCCATTTATTAGATCACACGTACAACTATCACCAATTTCATTTGGAGTCTTATGTGAATCAACCGTTCGACATTCAATTTTTTTCATAAATGATTTTTCACATGATCCGTAAGTTGTTTGTAATTGAGTAGGTACCTTTTCGAATGATGGTGTTTTCTTTGATACACTTTCAAATACAAATTCATCTTCACTTAACCATTTAGACCAACCATTCGCACATAATGGTTTAGTTTCAACACATGGCTCTCCACTGCACACAACTTTATTTTTACTACAGCGACATGTTTGACATTCAGTTGACGGCACAATATCACCTTCATAGTATTTTTTACCTTTGATTTCAGTACAAACTGGAGCGCACTTTGCTTTTGGAACACACTCCAGATAAGTATCGTTTGAATAAATATACCCTTCCTGACAAGGTTTAATATCGCATCCTTCAGAACATTTTTGTTGTTTGCACATTAAATCAGAAATTCCCTGATCTAATAAATTATCACAAGTTTCAATCGGACATGGTGATACACAAGCTGAATAACTAGAGCATTTAGAGTCACATTGCATTGCTAAATTCGAAATATTTAATTTATTATTATCAATGAAAAAAGTACTTTTGGTAGTATATTTAACTTACGGCATAGATGTTGTGTCCTCCATTTAATATTAATACCATGTTGCGAACACTCATAAGCATACGCTGCAATAGCTGTACAAAGACATTCGCAGTCGCCTCCTTGATCACAAGCACAACTATCAAATATACATTTTTGTAAATATTTGTCATAAGAAATTTCTCCATGGCAGGGCTACGAATGAAAAATCAAATATATTTTAATTAAAAACTTGTTGACTATTAAATTTCACAAATTACTTTAAACACATCTGATTTTAAAATTCCACATTTTAAATTTGCCCAACTTTCTCTTCCAGGATGTTCTTTACATGCGTTTATTGGTTCTGTGGGCATTAAACAATTGTCTTTTGAAACCCAAGAATGTCCAAATAATGTTGAACGAGTTTCCTTTGCACCACTAGGTGTTATCATGTCATTGGTTGCGTCGCCATTATAATCACCACATAATCCTTTAACTTTGCCTTTCCATTTATTCGCTAACTTAACATATACTCTAGTACCGAAATCCCATTTTATTTGTATACCAAGATAAGAATCTTCAATAATTTGAAATATTCCACTTTTATACATGATTAAAGAATTTTTGTCATTCGGTTTGTAAATTTTTTCTGCGGGAAAAAAATATTTAAAGTTATCATTTTGAGCATTTTTAACAAAATATATTTACTAGGAATATTAGCATCTGATGATAATGTTATCGTTTCTGATGTATAACCACTTAATGAAACTTTTACTGACTTTGAACATGTAACACCAAGAGATCCGCAAAGTACATTTTGAATGGAAATTGTAAAACCATTTCCGTTGGCATCAACACCTTTGGATAAATAATAATCACAGGCACCTTGGAAATTGAAGCTTAATCCGTCAAAAGTATTAAAATGTGAATCACCCCATACAGAACACACAGCGTCACATGGTTTTGCAATGCAATTCCATTTACCTCCAACACATTTACTATTGAAAACACATTATTACAAAATTTAAAATTAAATTGTTTGAACGTACCATGTAGAACACGCTTCATCAATAGATTGCCCTTCTTCAAAACTTCTACCTGAATGATGACATGAACATTCTTCTGGCACAACACAACGTTTCTTCGAACGATCATAAACATATCCTTTAACGCAAATGCAATCTGATTTGCAGTTCTCCAAATTCTCTTTATAGTCATGCATGTTATGACAAGTTTTTTGTTCAGCTGGAGCACACTTCGAAAATTCCATGTGAGGTTTATCTTTACAATTTCCTCTATATGGTGGATATAAATTAATATCTTGTGGTTTAGATGACTTACAAATCCAACTACCTTCGGTACATACACTAAACACATTTTTTTTATTAAATACTGTCCAAATGGCACTAAATATTTATATTTTTACCATAATTCAGAGCCATATTTTCCAGGTCTGACTTCTTTATAGCCCGATTCAAAATTCAGGCCATCGTAATAACACGGACATAACTTCTGTTCAATACACTCTTGTTGATCGTTTAATAGTTGGCCGTGCGGGCATCGACATCCTTCAACAAATGTTTCATTATTGCAAACATGTCCTAGTGATAAATCTTTGCATGATCTAGTGCATATTAAACCACTTTCTTCATATATTTGCCCGATTGGACATTTTGATGCTAAAAATTAATCAACTTATACTTGAAAAAGTATTTAAGAAAAAAGATAAATTATTAATCTTACCACATTCTGGTATCTTATAATGACTGTCAATTTTAATTCCGTGCCGTGAGCATTCATCATTATATGCCGATATAATAGGACAATAGCAATCGGACATTTTATCTTCGGTACAAGCACAAACATCGAACATACAATTTTCATAGAACTGATTTGGACATACTGCCCAATGACACTCTAAATAGCATGTTGTATATTATGAATATTTTTCTTTATTCTTATTAAGAACAGTATTTACGTTACCTTCAAATAGCTTTCCAGTCAAATATGCGCAATATTTAGCTGCTTTCTCTTTTAAATGTGGATTTTCTTTACAAGGATGCAACTCCATTGGTGATTCGGCTATTGCTGGACACGAATCTACAGCTCTCCATTTATCAACAAAAGGAGCAACTGCAGTTTCGTAATCATTTTCAGGGGTAATAAAATCTAATTTTGTATTAGAATTGAAAGCGCCACATAAACCACCCGTTTTATTACGAGTTGATGCTGGAGCATCAATATACGCCCTTGAATCACCATCCCATAAAACGCGAATTTCATTATCCAATTCAACTGTAATAAAATTTGAACTTGCGAATCTCACAACATTTTCCCCAAAAATGAATGGAAAATTTGATATTAAATGGCCATCTTTGTAAACAGTTTTTCCAGCATCCAATTTTAGCTTTATTTCCTTATTTCCATCATAAACATGTGATATTGTGACCCATTTTGTTGATGGCAATTTTTTAAATTTACCGTTTGAACCCTTTGGAACTACACCCTTTTCCACTTCAACCACTAATTTTCCAGTTTTAAGCATCACATAGGAACATTTTCCGCTAAAGTCATATTCTTGTCCATCAAAAGTAATAAAATGTGAGCTACCATAGCTTACACATCTTGCACCACAAATATTTTCAGTACACTTCCAGTAACCATTTTTGCATGTACTAAAAAGGTATACATACATATACATACATACATAATTTCAAATTACTATTTTAATCAGAAATTTCAATGCTTACCATGTATTACAATTTTGTTTAATTACAGCGTTATTTTTAAAATCTTTTCCGCCTTGTGAACATGGACATTCGCTCTCACGGACACATGCGTTATTATGAGAAACAGTTCCTTCTGGACAAAAACAGCCTTCAACACATTTTCCTTTTGCATCAATTGTAGCTGAACCACAAGTACGTTCTACAGCTGGCCCACACTGATTATATATCCGCCCATTATTGCATTTAACCGCTTTAGCCATAATTAAAACAATTTTAAAACTTTATTATACAAAAATAAATTTGAAGTTACGAAACTTACGGCAAGTAGATAAATCTCTCCATCCTTCTTTAATTTCAATGCCCATTGAAGTACACTGGGCGACTAAAGTTGCTAAAGTTTCACAAGCGCAAGTATTACGGTCTGCTGTGTTTGGACAATTGTAATAATCTCTTAAAGCAAAGTCAATAGTTGCTGATTTGTTTAGAACTTTAAAACAATTATCTAATCTATTATTATCGAAGAGTTGTCGAAGAATTGTTTCACCTTTTCTCTTAATTACAATATCATAACTTAACATATCAAAATTAATTTCTCTTGAAACGTCACAACTTTTCTCTTCCGGATAATAAACTGACCATGTGTCAACAAAGGCCCGTGGTGTTTTTAATGTAATACCACCAGTTCCTGCAAAATCATTACGAACATCACCATCGAATGTACCACACAATCCTCGTGTTCGTCCAAATAACTTTTTATTTGCCTCAAACCTAATAAATTTATTTTTATCCCATAAAATTTTCAATCCAACTGTCTCTAAATCTATTCTTAAAAATCGTCCTTCGTATGTAATGTCAACTCCAACTATTTTCACAGGTATGGTGATGATTTTATTATTTGGAGTTGACAATTTCATTTGTCCATCTTTAAAAAGCGAAAAAGCATTTTCATTTTCTAAAAAAATAATTTTCAAATTTGACGTGTGGTGACTCACCAACATTTTCGATAACACATTCAAAGTCATTCCAATAGATCAATAACGCAAAATTACACTTATCATCACTAACACCAGCCTGACATGTTCTCAAAACAATTTTGAATGTTCCATCAACACTGTCTTCTATCATGGTGTGGGAGCAAAGTAATTGAGATCTTAAAAAAGTTAAATATGGTAAACTTGCTTTTATATAAATTCTAAAGTCTTAAACTTACTGATATGTTACTCCATCAAAAGTTTTAACATTCATTCCATTCCATGTAAAACATAAGCCTTCATCAGACTTACCTTTTGAGGATCCGGCTAAGGCAGTCATAGACATTGACCAAGAATATGTTCCTGGAGTATTGTAAAAGTAATATCCAAAGCCCTGTAGGAACAAGAAATTAAAAGAAGGAACAAAGTAATGCAAAACGATAAGATTTTGCTTTAAAATTTTACCATTTTTTCGCGTTCAATTAAAGAAATTGAGGATTGACTTAATTCATAGGTCGACCCTCCTTGTGTTTTAACACCGCCATATCCTAGCCCAAAATCTACTCCTTCCATTACACCTTTGGTTAAATCACTATTGATGGCATAACTACCTTTGACGCTACTACTACTACCTCCGGAACCATATCCAAGAATATTTAAACTGCTACTACCGGTACTAATACCACCACCACCACCAGACCCAATGCCGTATCCAAAACTAACATTACGAACACTTGTACTGCTACTACCGCCACCAGAACCAAATCCTAAAATGTTAAGTCCACTACCAATAGCACTGCTAACTTTGCTTCCACTAGAACCAGACTCAAACCCAAGAATAGAACCACTTGAACCTCCTGCACTACCCCCGCGTATATCGAAACTGCTACTTCCTCCACTTATATTTACGCTGCTGCCATATTTACTTCCCCCACCGCTAATGCCATAACCTCCACCACCATATCCGTACTTAATTACACCACTTGAACCACCACCGACTACGTAATCGCCATATTCCTCACCTTCCAAATAACCAGATGAGTGAGTACGTGATGTTTCTTTGTTATTTATTTGATATTGTGAATATTTTGAGCTTGTTAAAGAATATCCTTCAGCTGTTATCAAATAAAATTATAAAGTATAATCGAGAGCCTGATAAACATTTTGTAAATTTAAAATAGTATAAAAAAAATACACTTACGGTATTTGCACAATGGAACCGGCTGTGGATAAAACTTTGCTTCAGAAAATCGACAAGTATACAACGGCGCAGGTGTTGAGGAAAACTGTATTCCAGTTGGACAGTTAATAGTGCAATTATAATAATCTGAATCCATTTTGCAATTATAACCACCATTAAATTTAGCTACTATTGTTATATTACAGGCAGATCTTTCTAATTAATCCAAAAAATTGCTAATTTGAAATAGCTTTCATTAATTTTTAACTGAAATATTACCATACTGACAAGCAGCACCTGCATATTTTGATGGGCAACTGCATAAATTATATGCAATACATGTTCCTCCATTCTTACATGGTGGATCGCAAGTCGCTGTTCATTTATCAAGAAGTTCATTGGTTTTAATGTTATACAAATATATATGAAAAACAAAAATTACTTACGAGCACAATTTTGTGAAAAAACTTTTTTATCAACACTATCAGATCGAGTCCACGTTGTACTATCTAAGCATTTTAAATCAACTTTTTCAATATTACCTTCCAATTTATAACCTCGATTACATTGCACTATACATTTTCTAATAAGAAATCAATTTCATTTGAGATTAATAATGTATTTGAACTTAATATAGCTATAATCTACAATAATTTTTTATAAACTAATTATTACCGATAACCACTAGTAGCAGTACCAACACAAGAAGTTAATGCATTCGATACAGTTGGTCTTGTTTTACAAATAGATTGAGTTTCTTCACAATATTTTCCAAGGAAATTATTATTACATTTGCATACATTTGGTGCTATGCAATTTCCCCCATTTTGACAAGGAGGTGAACAAATTGCTATATTATCAAAAATAATTAATTTTAAAATCTAGTTGCTATATTAGTATATTTTACCTTCGCAATCTGGCATTATTTTCCACTTGGCAGTCTCCTGTATTACCCAACGTCCATAAATACATGTTAGAGTTAATTCAGTTCTATGATCCGGAAATTCGTAATTATCGTAGCATTTAACTTTACAAGCTGAACCTTCACATGTAAAATGTGAATTCAATGGAACTTTATATGATGTTAAACAATCTGCCAGTGGTGGTATATTCAAATGATTTTTCAATAATATAGTGTTGGTTTTAACACCTGACTCACTACCATAACTTGAACCATAATGACCAGCATAATTACTACTACTGCCACTACTACTTAATCCACTACCACTACTGGAACTACCGCTACCACTGGAACCACCACTACTATAGCTATATCTATTTGGAATAAATTTACATTTAAAACGATTAATATAGATTAAATGAAAAAAAATAAATAATTGAATTCAAAATGTGTACATATATAATATGGAAAAATTTTATACAAATGTTAGTTTTCAAAACTAGTATATTGCATATACTTAAATATGAAAGATGTACATATATTTTTCAGTCCTATATAAATTTAGATGTGGTTCTATTGAAGTCAGTTGATTCACCATTTTTATAAATTTTAACAATAATAAAAATTTTTCGTATTGTGTTGACAAATTCAATTACACCCATTATTGAAAAGTTATTATTGAAAATGAACGTCCTGCTTCATATCAATTCGGCCATCAGAATTTTTTTTTTAAAAATGGAATTGAAGTCATAATTTTTAATTTTTATTTTTAAAATTCCTTCCTTAGTATTTCTAATTTTATTATTTTTTGGTGACAAATATTTCAAGGCATTAAAAATATTTTTTCTCTAACTATATTTGAAAATTTATACTGTATATACTTATATACTGTATAAAATCAAACTATTCTTCGGAACGCAGAACTCATTATACGAAATGCAAACTACATGACAAAATCTTTTATTAAAGATCTTAAGAGATTTTGTTCACACTGTAGGCAACCGAATAATTTATTATATACATGAATATTCTAATAACAAGAATAAAATAAATCAAATAAAATCTGACATAAAAGCAATGGGAAATTAGATTAATTAGATATTACATGATTAATTTTTCAAATAATGTTCGATTTTAAGCGATTTTTGACTAGAACTTTGTACCACAATTTTTCACCTAAAACATACGAGTACGATAAGATTTTTCATTCGTAGACAATAATTCAATCGATTGTCCTTTTTTAGTTAAATAGGACAATTTATGAAAATTTTTCATTTCTAGACTAAATTTATCGTTAAAGAAGGGTTTCGTTAAAGGTTTACTTGAACTTTTTAGGTTCATTTTTCTATATTATAGTTTTTTAATTAAGTTTAATAACACCATTGGTTATTTCAGTAATTATAAGCTTCTTCTAATACAATTGAATAATATTTATAAATTTAAGAGCTTCAATAATTTAAATTGTAGCAAGAACTGGCAAGTAATTGCTATGTAGCTGTTTAAATAAGTCGTATAATTTGAATATGAGGCGCTCAGAACATTAGTGACATGCTTGCAAAAATAACATTTCAAGTAAATTGCGATTGAAATATTTAAATATTTAGTTCATAAGAAAATTTTTAACAAGCAAAAATGAACTTATGTCAAAATAGAGTGAAAATAGGAATAAACTGAGTATTTTTATAATATAGAACAATTCTTTAAGTCATTACAGCTCTATTGAATATAATAACTAATTTTTGCAAAAATCTTGTATAGACCACTAATGTGCTGAGCGCCTAATATGTTAATTAACTTTAAATAATATACACGTTTTGTAACATGCGGTAAAACATAACATGCATGCGCTTCAAAGCAAAATGCATTTAAAAATTTAATTAAGCAGAAATTTTATTTTTATTTGCGAAAACTTTATACAAAATTAGTTCCGATAAATTTATAAAACATAAAATATTCAATATTAAATTCTAAAATTTTGTTAGTGAAATAGCTGCCATTATTTTATTATTTTTATATTACATATCTGTAATATGTATAAGAAAATTCAGCTAAGTATTTTGTACTAAGATTTCGATGTTCTTTTGAAATGCTTCATTTAATATATTGTCTATATTTTTTCAGATGATAAATTTGCAATATTTGTCATTGTTTAATAAAAATTCGGCAATTAATTTTTTACTTTTGGATTTCATTAAATTACCGTTTGATTAAAACACTTAAGTTTTCTACAAAATGGAGAAAAAAATTTTTGATAAATTTTTTAAGAAACAAATTACTTAAAAAATTTATCAAATATTTTTATTCTTACTTTAAAATTTCCATATTTTATTTGATCACAAAATTAAGTTAATTAAAATTTTTATATGAATTTAAGAGCAAGTAAATGAAACTCTGACATTTTGTAATGCACATATGAGAAATTTTATTTTGAATGAAATCAGAACAAAATTATTTTAATTAAAAAATAAATTTCGAAAACATTTGCTCAAAACAAAAAATTCTAAATTTCTTAACTATAACACCAAAGACCTATATTATATTTAAGTATTATAAAATACAGACCCATATATATTATTAAATATATGGGTCTTTGCTAAAACTCAAAGCAAAACTTCTCATATAGCCACCTGTAATTTTGATATTAATAATCATCACAAAATCCTCACAAATCATCACAAAATCCTCACAAATCATCACAAAATTATTGACAATTTTATTTAGAAAAATCATCTAAATTAATTTATTTAAATATTATAAAACTTAAAATCACGTATGCTAATGCTAATTTTTCAATATTTAAAAAAAAAAATTCAATAAAATAAATTTTAAGGATTTTTCATTTTAATAAAAATTATTCACTTTTTTGGGAAAATACAAGCCACAAGAACAATTTAATATTTTTATTTTTAAAAAAATTTAGAAGCCTTTTAATATCCATATTGCAATAAAATGGTACTCAAGTCCGGCTCAGCTTAAATAAAAACTGATGAATTCAATTTTTAATATAATTTTTTGAATTTAATGAAGATTTTTTATTAATAATTGTGAATTATTTTATTTTAGAATTTTACATAAAAATACGAAAACTGAATATTTAATGTTAAATTTTTTCTATTTTAAAAATTATTAGCAAAATTTTTATTTTTATTATACGAGTATTTTAGAAATTATTATTATATTTTCCTATTAAATTTTTTATATTATTTATTTTTAATAATTCTTACTATTTAGAGAAAATATACTCTTTTAAATTTTTTAATAATTTTCCACAAGTACATAAGGTTTTTTTTAACACATTTGATTAAAGCTACTTGTATATAGAAAAAAAAGAAACTTACGAATAACTTTTTGAATATGTTTTCGTTCCCGGGACAATACTAAAACTTTGACTACCCGGGATTATACCAAAACTTGAACTGTAATTATAACTACCATATCCAAATGTTAAATGTAAAAATGTTATAAGAAAAATAAAAATTAAATGCATTTTTATTATTTTTTTTTGTTATACAATTGTCATAACTCTCAAATTATTCCGATATTTAATTATTATTTATTTAGTTTATAACTTTTCACAAAAATAAAATTATTATTTAATTTTAAAAAATAATTGTTTTATACATTTTTATGTATAAAAACAAATTTTTAAAATTTCACTTGAAAAAATCACTTTTCTTTTAAATTAATATTTTAATTAATATTTTAAATAAATTTTAAAATATAAAAACCCGTTCGCGTTTAATTAAAAACTAAGAAATTTTCGAAATACTTTCCTGCTTTTATAAGATTTCGATTCATATCCGAAAAAAATAATATAAAAACTATAAAATAAAAGTACTTAATTTTTTATCAATGTGAAAAAAAAAAAATAACAATTTTTTTTTTCCGCCCGCGCATAAACTATAATAATTTTTTTTTTTTTTTGAAACGCTTTATTTATAATTAAGTTTTAAGAGTTTTCATTCGAATTTAGTTAATTTGATAAAAACTTAACAAAATAATGTAGAAAATAATAAAATAAAATTGAAAGTAAAATTAATTAGTATACAGGACTTTCATTTTTTTGCAATTTATATGATAAAATTTGCATATCATTGGCAAAAAATATGACCAATTTTTTATTAAAATTATCCAAGGTCATTGATTAAAATATATTTTAGTTCCCGTCAATTTGTGGTAACTATTAATGATTTTGTTTTTCCTTAATTCAATTTTTTAAAATAGAAATTTTTTTAGAATATTTGTTACGATTTTTAAATTCATAAATAAAGAATTTGAAAAAAAAGTGAAATTTGCATAGCTATAGGCGTGATTCTTAGCATTAAAATTAAAATACATTCTTTTGTATTAATTTTCTCATTTATATTGGATGTAATAATTTCTCGAAATACCTATAAATAGACGTTTTTTTACCCTTATTAATTTCACTCTGCCCGCCCGTTTATTTACTCATTACATGTGTGTTCAAAATTTCTATACCTTTCAAAATAGAAAGTTTCTAAAATCTGTAAAATTCTAAATACGCTTAAAAATGCGGTTTCTAGAATTTTGTGTTACTCGAAATATATGCAGTGCTTATAAGCATTTTAAAAATTAATATTTATTACAAAATCTTGTTTTTTTTTACAATAAAACGTAAATTTGGGTAATCCAATCCTAGTTCTAGACCTTAGAAATCTATTGCTCTGGAAAATAAAAATTTATCATTCAATCGTTTGAAAATTATAACCATTTGAAGGGCTAAAAATGCCATTTTTCGCAATTTATCGTGTCACAAATGCAGAAAAATAATAATTTATTTCTTCCAAGTTATCACCTATTAAAACTAGCAAAATTAAAATATTAGAATTCCCGAAACTCTAACCTTTTCGAGATTTCTATAAAAGCAAAAAATTAACGTTGAATGTTCTGCCATCAAAAAACATAATTATTTATTTTAGCATGCCCAGTTATGTAGCCATCCAACCCAATTATTTTGTTAGTGCTTGAAGTTTTGTTCTCATCCTGAAAGTATGCAATTATTATCAAATATTTTAATATTAATGAGAATAATTAAAAAAAAAAATCATTTTTCTTCTTCCCTTTTTTTTTAGGAGAAATGTTTTACTTTTAAAACCATAATTGGCTTGATTTCAACTTATTTTTGAATAAATGTTCGTTCAGTTATAATTTAAAACCCTTCTGAAAATATTGAAAGATTCAAACATTAATCAAATTCCAAATTTATAATATTAATTCAAAAATACTAATTTGATGATCATTACAGTTTACGATATTATTACAATATTACAGTACTAATGAAATTTTGATGTAAATAAAAGCTTACAACCGCAAAATATTATGATTTTTTTAAAAGGGCTTGTATACTTAAGTTCAATAATCTTTAATCATATTTAATTTTATTAACATACAAAACTATATTATTTATTTTAGTCATAACCTTGAAGTTATAATTATATGAATGTACATTTCAAATTTCTGTCAAATATTTTTTTATCAAATTTTGCTAAATTTTGCAGAAATTTCATATGATATGAGATTACGTAAGTTTCCTTTAAATTTATGAATTACTAATACAGTCGAATATATTTTTATTTA